CCCCACCCCTAGCACTTTGTACAAATTGGTTAACATCAGTTCAACATTTTAATATCAGTTCATGTTTAATCTTTGTATGTTTCCTGAATGTTTCTAGCTCTGAATAAAGCTGTATGGGAAAGGTTTCTCATATCTAAAGGACCAAAAAGTGCTGCATTAATGCATTTTATATCCTAGAATATTAGCTAGAAACTAACAATCACATTACCCGCTACAAGCAAGCACTTGACAACAGAGGGAACGAAAAACCCTCCTTTTAACAGAAAGAAACCAGATTCAGGGAGGGGCAGCCACCCGCCATGATTGATGAAGAAACGGAGCATCATTAGCAGCTCCCAGCAACCGGACATTTTTGCAGTATAACTAAAGGATGGTGAAGGGTCATCTACATGAGTATGAACTGTAAGTTTTATCAAAAATACACATTTTAGGTGTAATCTTAGGCTTGTCTGTCTCCTGGCTCTAAATTTGAAAGGAATTTCGAGTCAGGAGAGTCAGCCCCTAAATTTGGGGCAGAGAGACCTGATAGCTGAAGGTTGTATCTGATATTCTGCTTTTGATAATGCTGGGAACTGCTCGGTACATTCACTCAATTCTATTCTTATCATTTAATCAATCCGGCAAAAGTAACCGGAAATACATAAGAGGCATGAACAGTGCTGAACAGGCCAATCACAACAGGTCAAGCTGCATCAACCTGAGATGTAGTTACATTTCCAAGGAAGTGCAGGTTGGGTTATGGCGTAGGCGTGGGGTTTCAAAGAGGCTTGCAGTTATGACATGCCAATGGTGTCGATTTCCCACTGAAGCATAAATCCCCAGTAAACCTTCAGTCACAGAGCGATGCTCTGATTGGATGATACGGTGTTATGTGGTCTTTAAGATAAGAGGGAGGCTGATTATGTCTTTTATGAGAATTCAATTCTGATAACACGGAGCCAGTGAAGAGAAACTGAAACTGAAGAAATGTGATTTCTCTCTCGCTGTTCTGGATCAACTGAAAGCTTTTCAGGGACATTTAAAGTGACCTAATAATGCATTACAACAGTCATGCCTGGAAAGTGCGTGATCTTTTCAGCATCTTCATCACTCTGAGACAGGATTTCACAGTGATGGTAATGGAGAAATTAATGTTAGTGTCCTGCTTTGGGCTGAGTTCACTGGTAAAGCCACAGTGTTGTGGCTGCACAGACTACAGTCACACCATCTGTGGCTGCAGTCGTTGTTTGTCAGTCTGCACAGATTCTGCTTAAAATGCATTATAATTTCTGAGCTGTCTCCCTCTCCCTTTGCAGCTAGTGCAAACATCTGTAACGTGGGCCTGATGAGACACAGCGAGCTGTCCGAGGGTGTCGATGTGCTCGACAACAACGGGAACGTTGTGGGATCCTCCAGAATTGCTGCGAGACATGTGAGGGCTCTTTTTCATTTTTGCATGATTCTCGTTAGAAATCCAAACGCCATCTGATCTCATGAAAAATAAATAAATAAACTCAGTGTTTGAAATGGAGCATGTGCACAATGTTCTCTATCCCCAGGCAATCATGGAAACTGCCTTTACACGTGTGGTCCTCCCAATGCCAATCTTTGTCCTGCCCCCCATCATTATGTCCTACCTCGAGAGGTTTGTGCAGAAATACATTTTTTTTCCTGTTAGGGTTGCAACTAGTGACTTACTTTTGTTGTTGTTAGTTGTTGTTAGTTGTTGTTAGTTAGTCAGTTGGTCTAGAAAAGTACATAAAGCTGCTACCAAAGGTTCCTAGAGAGATGTGGCACAGTTAAAACAGTAACAGCACAAACCTCAAACATGTAAAATGATCAGAATGTAAGAAATAATGCAGTAAGTTTCCCAACAAAACAAATCAAACAAAAAAGAAAAGCAAATGAAAAGAAACAAATGTTTTAATATAGAATAATTACATTTATGCTGTTGTGGGTAATGATGCTTTTTATTCAACCTATAATACAAGAACATGCAGTGACCACACATTTAGTCAAAACTGAAGTAACACCAGTGCTTAAGTATGACTGTGACTAAATCAAATCACAGCAAAAGAACAGCTGAAGCCTAAGTTAGCCTTTTAATTAACGTACAGTTTAATAATCTGGCAGATGCAGGGCTTTGTATTATCAGCTTTGTTATCCAAAGTCAGACTCTAACACAATCAGCAATCAATAAATCAATTACAGTAGTTTGCTTTGTGTCATTGTGCAGCAAACTGGGACTGCTCTACCATTGCTTTAATTGTGCCCCTTTTTAGTATCGTCTGCTTGAAGTACTACTCTGTGTGTACTGAACCAACGCTGGCATGTGTTGTGCCCCAAAGTGTTTACTAAACTATTCATTCAGTCAAAGGTCACGAGAGAAAAGACAATATGAGAACAAATAGAAAACGAAAGCATTTTTTGTGCCTTTAAAGAAGAATCTGCAGTCAGATTTATGATATTCTCTCTCTCACATAAATCTCACACCCTCCAATCGTGCAGAAATAGCTCCCCTAAATCTGCACATGATGTTTTTCTCCAGATCCAAAAATAACTCACAGCTTTGCAGGAGTCATCTGGGATCGATCCACGCAGCACGCTCACGTTTCTTTTTATCTCTGCCTTGACTTGTGTAGGCTGCGATTTCTGCAGAGCAACCGCAGGCTGTTGCTGCCCATCCACAGCGCTGTGTGCCTGGTTACCTTTGGCCTGTCCTTGCCCGTGGCCATCAGTCTGTTCCCCCAGATGTCTCAGGTACAGTACATACGCTGTTAGACGGGCTGCTGCCTTCAAGGCCAGATGGCACAGGGAGCAGCTGTGCAAAAATTCAAATTACATGTCCACAGCTTGACATGCAGAGCCCCGACCCACA